CGATTTGATCGTTGTACATCTGGATCTCATTGTCATAACCCTCCTGTGTACCTTTGATGGTTTGCTCCAACACTGTAGTCTGAGAGAAGAAAAGAGGGGGAAATTACCGTAATTTTCGGACTATAAGGCGCATCTGAATATAAGCCGCAGCAGCGGCATACCACTCTCGGTTCCACTTTTACTTTGGCGCGCTACCTGTCTCAATCTTTTCCGGCCTCCAGATTTTCCTGCTGGAACCCGCCGCTTAAAGGTGGGGGTCCGCGGACCGGCCATAGAGCCCATAGAGTTAAAGGTGGTGGCCGTTAGCTGTAAAAATCCATAGATTAGCCGCACCGTTATATAAGCCGCAGCGTCGAAAAATGGGGGAAAAGTCGCGGCTTATAGTCCGAAAATTACGGTATATACATTTTCCAAAGGTAGGTGTGTAGTGTGATTCTGTGTAGTTTATTTATGGCATCCCGTTGGATTTGACGTCATCTGAAGAGGACATCACACGCTCACTGCTTGATAGCGCGCGAAGCTCCGTTTCCGCCGGTTGTTAAACAACATCGTTATGGGGAAATGCAAGTCTGCGTCCAAATGGTTGGAAGATAAGGAGGAAGGACAATCAATAATGTATATAGTCAATGTGAGGTAAAGTGTGTCGCCAAGGTAACCGGTTAAAACTCAAAGTGGCGATGAGGTATTAAAATGTGTGGAAAGGGTCTTAAAAAAGGTCTTAAAAGGTTTTATATTTGACTTCAGGATTCCTGCATAGACCCTGTCTTTATACGAAAGCCATGCATAGCTGCAGTCAGTAACCTACAAGAGAATATTAAATCATTTATAACTAATGCACATCTACCCTGAAGAAACTGTCTCCACTAACAAGCACATGTATTGAAAAGGTAACGGACTGTAAAATGTGGAGACCTCATTTAAATCCGCAGACTGAGCTAACAATAGAATCTCACGAGGACAAAGATACTAAAGAGAAACTAGGTCTTTGTCACTTGCTCATAATCTAGAGGAGAGACATGTCTACGTAAGAAGCCTAACCTCACACAGTGGCCCTCACATTATAATAATAGTGTTTAAATGAATTCCTAAAATAGTACAGAGACTGCAGTTGAAGCTACATGTGCACTACTAAGTCAGCCTTTATTCAACATAAATGTGTCTGAAATGATTGGTTTTGTCATTAAATTGTTATTTTCTAATTGTTTTGTGAACAGTATTTCTACAACGCTATATCCCAAGAGTACTTGTACTGGGATGCTGCATCAAAGTCCTACATCCCAGTCCCAGGAGGGAACCCTGCAGCCACAGCGCCGTTGCCCATGACCGCTGAAGACCAGGCCATTCTTTCCAACCCAGCAGCAGACGCTCCTCTGGAGATGAAAAAATCCTTGACTCCTAATCCAGAAGACTCTGCAGCATTAGTTCCCAGTGCTGATGACGGCTGTGCGCTGGACCCTGTCCCCACTTCCTCTGCAACTCCTGAGAAGAAAGATGATGATGACTCTAAAAAGGACAACGACAAGCCAAGAAGCATCGCCGCTGTCAAGGTAGCACTTCAGATACAATACCACTGTACACAGTATGAAAGACACATGTGTAAAGGGAACGCGGTTAAGACATGTGTGTTGCTGTTTGCAGATCATGAAAGATATGGAGCGCTGGGCAAAGATCCAGAATCGTCAAAAGGAGACAACAGTCCGTTGTGCATCGCCGCTGCTGCTGAGTTTCAGAGGAGACGATGATAGGAGGCCTTCCAAGACGGCTGACGCTGGTTTTGCTATCTTCGAGAGGAAGGTTAGAGACTCTCCTCACACAACCACTTCCATCATGTGCATCAATGTGGAGATTAGAATATTTGTTTTCATTATATCTTGTAATGGTACTTAACCCAAATGTTTTGTCTACATCCGCAGATATCGGGTCCGGATGATCTTTTTAAGAAACCAATGGCTCCTCTTAAGAAAGATGAAAAGTCAAAGGTAGGAAACTTCATTCAGGAGATGTTGCACTATAACCCCTACTTCGTGTCTGATTCACTCTGTTTACCTCCTTCAGAGTAAAAAGTAGATTATTTTTTCTTACATAATTGACTAATTGTGTTTTCTCCCCCAGCGTTCTATGGGCTCTCTGAGTATGCTGGCATCAGACTATGCGGCTGGAAGTGATGAAGAGATAGAAGAAGATAGGGAAGACGCAGCCAGAAACAGTCAGGGCCCGTCTGAAGACAAGGACAGCAAGCTGACAGACTGGAAGAAGATGGCCTGCCTGCTGTGTAGGAGACAGTTCCCCAACAAGGACGCTCTCATCCGCCACCAGCAGCTCTCGGACCTGCACAAAGTACTACAAGTGTACCTCTCTATGAACAGTAGTTGACAGTCTCTCTGTATACAGACAAAGCCTCTAATACTGCATGTATTCTCTCAACAGCAAAACATGGAGATCCACCTTAAGATCAAGAGGTCCAAGAAGGAGCTGGAGGCACTGGAGAACCAGGAGAAAGAAGTAGGTGGAAATAAAGGGGTGTGCTCAGGAGAGCTTGAAGTGGTTGGGTTGAATACTAAAGGTTGATTGTGTCATTCACAGCTAACTACAAAAGAACCCTCCAGGTCACCAGAGCCGAAGAAAAGGAAACAACACCACCACCAACAGATGCAGCATCATAACTCCTGGGCTGGAGGCTCAAGGTATGTGTCTGAACTGACCTCTCACTGAAATGGGAAAGCATTTAGGTTATTTAGATTAGTGACACATTTGTCTTAACCATTTGTTCTCTATGCGTAGGGATATTCATAAAGTCAGCGAGAGACCTGGTCTTGGTCTTGGATCTGAACCTGCCCCGGTAAGTTTGCAGCTATTTTTCTCTGCAAAATGTGGTGTTTGTTGTCGGTTTGTTAAAACCTCTATTGTACATTTTTCTCCAGCCACGAAAAAAGAAAGACCCTGTGGTTTGGGACCATGCCACCTACAAACAGGCGGTTCGCAAGGCCATGTTTGCACGGTTTAAGGAACTCGAGTGATCTCATCTGAACTCATCCTCAATTTGATATGTGATTGGGTAATATGACACCCTCCCCACCTAAGCATAAGAACGCCTCTGACGTTGCTCTGCCTCGGACATTATTAAACTACAGAACCACCGTTTTCTACAATGAATTAAGATGAAAATGATGTGTCAAAATTAAATGACAAGACTATTGTGGAGCTTAATCAACTGATACTTCTCATCCTTAACAATGGATGTTGTATAGAAAATGTGAATCTTGCTGTTTAACTATTTTTGCCCATGTTTTATGTGTGGCCTGTGTAGAATTATGACATTTTTCAATGTGATTTATTTCTTTTTTTATGATACTGTCACACTGGCCACAATTACATTTTGTTTTAAACTCGAGCAAATATTTCCTTTTCATGGGTCGAAGTTTCAAATGTATGTCCACATGTTTAAGTAAAAAATATGATGAAGTAGCTTTTTCTGCATTTGAAGTTTTTGTTCAGTGTTCTGCTGTACATCTCATGTCCACTAGGTGGCAGCAAGACACTCAAGATGTTTTGTCTTGTATTAATGTGACGTGTCCAAGAAAGAATGCTGTAACACATCAGGTTTAGTATTTAATATCAGTTTTTACAAAGTGACAACCAGGTGATAACATTGAAGTGCAAGTATATGAGGTCAGGATTTCCAGTCATGACGGGTCTAGCCAATATGTATTTTCTGTAGGAGTTAAAACATGAAGCCTCCTCTATGACCTTTCCTGATATGAAGTAACCAGCCTCACCCTCTCTGCAGCTGTAGTTCAACTCCTCAGAGAACAAGAACACTGGGGAGCATGCAGAGTTAGTCTCTGACAACCACAGAAAGATGTGGTGCAAGCCAACATCCTTTCATCTGTGCTAGAATGATCCTCTTGTCTTTTCGATTTGCTTTTGGACACTAACCTATTTGAATGCAATGAGGAGATTTAAGCTCAGTGTGTCAACAGGTAGCTGGAGTGTTGATATCATGCCCAACAAGCCTGGGTCTCATGTCAACAAGCAGTTGGAAAGATGGCAAAGGTAAACATTATTACTTCCAGAGTGATCGGCACTATGTGGAGTCTCTGTGTCTGAGGATACAGGGCAACGTGGTTACAAAGCTTGACAATTGAGTGTAAACCTTGTTCTGTGGCTTGGCAACTCAACAGGGAACACAATAAACATAACCACAGTAATTATCTGCAGGTTCCCATGTGCAGCGAAACCCTGGCAACAACTTGCTATTGCTTTTCAGTAGAATAAAAGTCAGTAGCCTCTGTAAACATATTAAATGAATAGTGTTTACATTTTATTTTGTTTTAGGATGGAACAGGTTAATGATTACATCATTTCCACGTATTTACCAAATATCTTTGCTCAGGTCATACCAAATGTGCATCTGATGACATGTTTTCTTTATTTTTTGTTGCAAAAGCATAATAAATTGAGCAGATTTGGCAATAATATGATGCAATAACAAAAGTGACCAAATCTACTTCCATAATAAAGGAAAAACATTATTTGACAGATTTAAACGTCACATTTTGGAGGTCAATAGTTCCATGTATAAGTGAAGGTCTTACTTCCATATTGCAGTATTTCGTCTCCGTTTATCTTGCTGGTATTAAATTGTGACGCATTTTAAATCCATGCAGGTCAGACATTAATCAAATAAATACATTTTCAGACCAACAGATTTAGGAACAATATGTATTTGCATATAAATAGAATTTCAACCAGATTCACATGGATTGGTATGTATGTACTGTATTGACATTGCATTTCATTACCTAGAGACCATCAGCCAAATAGAGTGATCATACAGAATAATGAAATACAAATTGCGGATTACAATCTCAGCGCAGAAATGTTGTTAATGAAAAGTGTTTGCCTAAGTGCATTATCCATATCCTATAAAAAAACATTTGGGTAGCACAGTGCTAACAATATAAGTAGGTCTCAAGATTTTTGATTTATGCAGACATTTCAAATAAACTCAACGGGTGATGGACTTTTTGCAATTTCCTTTTCTTCCCCATAAATGGCAGAAGGAGGGCAATTGGAGAAGGATCTCTGCCTATTCTATGTTATTTCAAGTAGACTCATTTCCATTCCTCTTTTCTCCATTCTGTCACAAGAACCCAAAGACTCCCCCAGCTCCCAGTGACAGATGTCGTCATTACCCGGTCCTAACTGTCTGTGGAATGAAAATGAATGTGTTGTTAGTCGGTGAGCAAGGGAGGCCAAACAGAGAGGTGTAGCTGCCATGTTAGTATCCCCACCATGTGTGACCGAGAGCTTTCAGGCAGCATTCATGTCAGAAAAAAGGTGGACAGGGGGTCCAATTATCCCAGCTGGACGGCTCTTAGCAGCAGTCTGGGGACGAGACAGAAGAAGAGAGTCAGCAGGACTCTCAGATGTTGGGATGTGCTGTCAGTGCACAGAGGCGATAAGAGGAGCTTTTAATGGAGGTCTGACACCAATCTGCTAGGACAAAGATGCTCTTAACGTTGAAAACATATCGACAATCTTAGACTTGTACACATTTTGTTTAACATCAATAGACAGGCAGTTCACTAGACACCATCTAGTTTTTCAAGTTATGTTTTTTATGTTTTTTAAGAAGCCCATATCTGTATGAAATTAAATCCATGTACTACTAGAGATTAAATTGATTATTTATTTTACAATATAATTACATTTCAGATGACTGTGGTCATATCAAATGTCTTCTTTGTTCGTTATGACAAATGATCAAAACACATCCCATGTAGAATGTCTCCCTTAAGTATTCACATGTGTTTGTGGTCACCCCGTGAAAACAAAAGAGACTAAACCATCTCAGGAAAATCATGCTTGTCTGAGCAATTTTCACCATCTGGCTGGTCCTTTCAAGTGTAAATTAAAAAATGAGGTCTGTTATTGATTGCTAATCTTTAACATCATCTTGAAAATGTCCTTGTGACTGTCAGGCGCAGGACATACATCAGAGCACAGCTTATGTTGGGTTTGGACCATTGCTCGTAGCAGAACCAATTCCACTGGCAGACTGTCACTGAGAACATTATATACATTCAAAAACATTTGGAAATGATGTCATGGCTCTGCACTCCAGCACTGACGGAGAAGCAGCAGTGATACTAATATATCAAAACAGAAAGCTGGACTGTTCCCTTCTTTTATTTTCTTAGACTGCAATACACTTTTTAGCTTTATATAGTTTATAGTTTTCTCTTTTAATCATCACTGTGATATCTCTCATGTAATTATGATACACAGATAATCAGTCTTTGAGCACATTGCTATTGTAAACACACTATGAATAAACATTCTCTGTAAGAGCTGCTGAAGGTTTGTGAAGCATATTTGAACTGCTCAGACCTTTTTTGACTTCAGAGGATAAATCTTATTGTATTGTTACCGTGCAGCCATAAAAGTTGTGCTCTGCAACAAGTCAAGCATTATGAGGTTTAGCAGTAGGTTTGAATGCTCTGTGGATTATTATTTTCTTCAGGCAACTAATAGAGGTATTTGACAAAGTTTAAAACTTGATTTGTGTACAAAGAGCCTTAACTGTACCTGGCACTCTCATCACATTTTATGTTTGGCATTATGTGATCTTCATAATAAAAACATTTCAAAGTAAGTTTGAAAGTATTTCTGTGAGATCATTTTGTTTTAAAAACCCACTTCTGCTTTGTTCAGTTCAATGATCCTGTGACTTATTCAGAATCAGAATACTTTATTTAAACCTTTGTCCACATACCAGATGTTGAACATTTACAACATACAGCGGAATTCAAGCTATATTAAATATTATGTTAATATGAGATATATGACAACATAATGGTAATGTTTTTGCATGTACACCATTGTGGGATTTGGGTGCCACTGCCCAGAGTGTCTGTATATCCTATTACTTGCACTTAACAAAATAACAGTTCTCATAAGCGTCTTTGAGTTGTGAAAAGCGCTATATAAATAAAATGCATTATTATTATTTATTATTATAATAACTCCACTAGACACAAACATTATTTTAGACCCATGATCATTTATGCTAATTGTTTTGGGGGTGGTCAATAGGAGGACTGTTTAACCAAAGTAACATTTGAATAATATGAAAGCATTATATTTTCCCAGCATAAAAATCTTCCCGCTGCAAAAGAAAGTAATTTTAGTCTTTGCTAATAAGATAATATTTACCAGGATGATGACGGGTGAAGGTACCAGGACCGTGACATTCTTATTTACCTTAGTGTGGTCATTTCAATAAGATGGAAAACTTACTTCACCAGTCAACTTGCAAAATGAAATTATTCAATGCAAGTCTTTTTAGAATCAGGTTCTGTCCGGCTAAATATGATTTGTGATTCTCATGAAGTTATAGCACTCATCCTTTATTATTAATGGCCTGTTTAATTTTTAATGTAATATAAGGTTGAGTGAGCAAAGGGCTGAGGGAGCATAAGGTGGAAGGAAGAAACGATAATATACTGAGACAATATTAACAGGCGGGAATTTCTATAACAACTAACACAGTATAACATAGTAGCATGTCTTTTCAATCAGGGGAAATTAAATGATTATTTTGGCTTTTAGACGTTTTTCTTTTCATTTAGTGTAGAAATAGCTGGCAAAAATATTGTTAACATTCTGCAGTACTAATGATACCCCTTGGGAATATATCTGATGAATTTATCATAGGGCCCATATGGATGAAACATCATTTCAGGTCAATTCCCTGCCAGAGTTTATTATTGAAAGTCACTATAGTGGAAATAACTGCCCTTGCAATCAGCCATTACTGCTCCATTGTGCCTTATAATGTTACCTCTAACAGTCCGTTTTGATACCATATTAGGTGCCTTCGATCTATCAACTCCTTCTCGTGCCTGCATTGTGCTTTCTCTTCATCCAGTTTAATACTCTAGTTGCATCAACACATCACTTCAGCCTTCAACCTGGCAGCTGGAACCTTTGGAGCATGATTACACATTAAATTGTGTTTATTGATGATGTAAAAAGAAGATTAAGAGCCTGCCTTTATTGTTATGCTATTTGAAAGTTGACTTTACGAACTACTGTAGCTGACGCTCTTGTCGGTAGAGGGAATTTTTCATTTTAAACTCACTTTCAGAAGGAAGTATATTCACGTTTAACAGTGTCTTTGCCAGACAGGTTAAATGTTCTCAATGTAAAAACCTGAACTGAACTGACTCATATCATGTGATGTTGTGCCACATGAAAGTGAACTTGGAGCTCTCTGCCTGCATCAACAAGGAGATCTAGAGTAAAATGTAGACCTGCTCAATCCAGTATAAAAGGTTTGTTATTGATCAGTCTTGTTCTCACTAATACCTGACCCAGCTCATTGCATCAGTATACGGCCTATATGAGTATCAACATTAGTATCTGTATTGATGCATCCCCACTTGCAAAACATCAAAGTGG